CTCCATGTTCTTGTCATCGCCACGGACCAGTACATCGCCGTTTTCTATTCTTTACAGTATCCTCAGATCGTAACTCAACGCAGGATATTTGCCACTATTGCCGTAATATGGGTGTTCGTTCTTTCATTCAATACCCTCCCTTACATTGGATGGAGGAGAAAACATCCTAATATTCCTTTACCTTACTGCTTTACCGACCAGGTCTGGACACCATCATTGCTTTGTTTTCAGTTTGGTCTGTGCGTCATAGCCCCTCTATGCATCATGATTGGTATCTACACGCGCATCATAAGTGCTGCGCGTCTTCAAGCAAGTCGAGTCGACGCGATGCCGCAAGAATTCATCGCAAGTGGTGGCGATGCCAACGCGGCTGGACAATTATCCGTCGGTTCGATGCACGACGGCATCAACCGACCTCAGGAACTACGAGCGCCTGTTGCCAGGATTCGTCGCGGGCCAACCATAGCCGAGTTGAAGGCCACAAAAACATCTGCCATAGTGCTGGGTACGTTCCTTGTCTTTTGGCTACCTGCGTACAGCGTGCACATAACATTTACATTCATCAACAGCAGTCGGACTGAACCGCTTCATAGCCCCACAATCGCCATTCTGCAAGCTGCGTCCAATATGCTACCATTCATAAGTTCAGCTGCTAACCCAGTCATTTATGCCTTTCGCTATCAGGAATTTCGCAGATCTTTCAAAAAATCCCTCAAGATTTCATTTTGACAACGAGAATAATCTGGACTACGAAAATCACTTATTTTTTCCTTCTTCAAATTTAACTTTCTTTTAACTCGCGCATTATAAGTGCTGCGCGTCTTCAAGCTGTTTTCACTCGTTTGAAAACTCAAGAGACCACTGCTGTTCCTCAAAGGATGTTGAAGTATACACAGAAATATTATTGTCAATATGTGCTGAAACAACAAACCTCCATTTTATTTGTCGAACGATATAATTCAGTATGTTGGGAAAAACTCAGGTGCAACAGGATAAATACGGTTCAGTCATTAAACATACCCAATCGCAGTCCCGTGCTCACCGCTGTTACGTTTGGTTCTATTCACCCTTTGTATAAAATAGCTTCGTACAGGGAAGATTCATTTGGCTTGATGAAGCTTTTTCATAAGAAAAGGAGACAACGATTGCCAACATGGTATTATCAAAGATATCCATCGAGAGGATACTATCTAACTGCATGATATTATCCAACAACATTATACTACCCAATGACTGGGTACTACATCCGATGACTGGGTTCTATCCATCGAAATGGGACTATCCAACGACAAAGTACTATCTAACGATTGGGTACTATCTGCAGGCTACTATCCAACGACTGTACTATATCCAACCACAATGTACTACTGCAACGACAGGATACTACCAAACGTCAGGGAACTATCCAACGACAGAATGCTATTTAGCGACAGGGCACTATCCAATGACTGGGTTATATCCATTGAAAGGGGACTATCCAACGACATAGTACTATCTAACGAATAGGTACTATCCAACGACAGGCTACTATCCAACGACTGGGTACTATATCCAACCACAATGTACTACTGCAACGACAGGATACTACCAAACGACAGGGAACTATCCAACGACAGAATGCTATTTAGCGATTGGGTACTATCCAACGACAGGCTACTATCCTACGACTGGGTACTAAATGTATATCCAACCGCAGTGTACTATCCAACGGCAGGATACTACCAAACGACAGGGAATTATCCAACTGCAGGGTAGTATTCAACGACAGATTACTATCCAACGATAGGGTACTATCCAATGACTAGGTTATATTAATCGAAAGGGGACTATCCAACGACATAGTACTATCTAACGACTGGGTACTATCCAACGACAGGCTACTGTCCTACGACTGGGTACTACGTGTTTATCCAACCGCAGCGTACTATCCATCGACAGGATACTACTAAACGACGGGGAACTATCTAACGACAGGGTACTATTCAACGACAGATTACTATTCAACGACAGGGTACTATCCAATGACTGGGTTATACTAACCGAAAGGGGACTATCCAACGACATGGTACTATCTAACGACTGGGTACTACCCAACGACAGGCTACTATCCAACGTCTCGGTACTACGAAATCCAACTGCAGCGTACTATCCAATGATTTAATATATATTATATTCCACATACTAAGAATCTTGTACTACGATTGGTCATAAGTAAATCACGTGATCAAAGATAGTTCGCCCATCATTGGTGGAAGAAGCAAAAAGTTCGTTGCCCTTTGTAGATAGTACTACTATCTACAAAGGGCAACGCACTTTTACTAAAGATAGAGGTACTATCTACAAAGGGCAACGCACTTTCACTGAAGATTATCCAAAAGCGCACTAAAATAGGCGTAATTAAGCGCGCATTACCAATGAGCGCAATTAAAGCAAACACATGCGCGCACCGTAACCTCAAGGGGTTGGGTTAAACTTTTAACCTTTTTGGTGTGAATTTGGGCCTGGTGTCTTTCATGTAGATGCCTACACGTCCTTTTCTTGTTGTAGTTATATTGTTTTTAGATGTGGAATATAAAGCAAATAAGTCACCTTTTGGTTTCAGGCGATGGCAAACTATCACTTCCTCGTCGATCAGAATGTATACGCTATCTTTCCTCAGCTTCGCTTCGGAAAGATAGCTACATCCTGATCGCCTCGGAAGTGATAGTTTGTCCCATCACCTTCACCAACGGTAGTTATTTGCTTACTATCCAGCGATAGGCGACTATTCGACGACAGGGTACTATCTAACGACATAATACTATCCAACGGTTTATTACTGTCCAGCGACAGGGCAATATCGAACGACAAGGTACTTTCCAAAGACAGAATACTATCCAATAATTAAATTATATCCAGCCATAATAAATTATGTAACCATTCAACGACATGGTACAATCCGACGACCGAAGACTATTATGGAGGCGCGATGGCTCAGTCGGTAGAGCATTGGTCTCGTTATCCGGTGACATGGGTTCGAAAGCAAGTCGATGCGCTAGTACCCTTTGGTAAGGCATTAATCCTCATTACCCTATTACCAGGTCCCTCAGAGAGGACCTTAAGCCGTCGGTCTTCTGGTTGCCTTACTAACAAGCATTTATTGCTTTCTTAGCTGTCAGGTAAAATAACCATCACTATCCTACTACTTAATACTTTCCAACGACAAAATATTATCCAACTATGAATGATAATTACTTTCGATTACACAAAACCCATATCCAAATTTTTTGTAGTATTATTATATTAACGAAACCCATATTTCCTTTTTTAATGTGTCTTAGATGTAGTCATGAAAATAATGTACACTTTATAAATGTAGATTTTTTAATGAATCATATCATTTTATACTTCTAATTGTTCATCTAATTCGAATATTTTGAAATCATAGCTTATATTTGACACATTCAAGTGAAACAGAGGGTAACAATGTTCTCACAACGCACGAAATTCAATTAAACGTGTATTGATTTTGACGTGTGTAAATGTTTGAGCGTATTTTCTATTGCTTGACATGGTGGCATTTTTAAACCAAATTATTTATAGATCTACAGTTGATTCTATTTGTCAAGTATATACTCAATAAGATAATGTGTTCCCAGGGTGGACAATCAAAGATTCTATACGATTGGCAATTTTACGCGAATAGATTTTCTAAAATTATATTTGCTTGAATTGTCGTGAGTAATAATATTGTACTATAAAGTGTTCCACCGGCGAGTCTGAATTGTTGCGGCACGAAGAGAAAGATGTTTCCTCATAATTGATAGTTCTACACTCGTCGCAGAAGGGCATTAGCACATTGTGAAATGATAATTATATCTTGACAATTAGGCACGTCTGGCGTGAATACTGTGATGTATCAGTAGTTTTCTTATTGAATTTATACAAATAAATAATTTGATGTATTCGTGGATGGTTATAGAATTCGCGCTAATGTGAATTGGCCTTTCAAGTTGCAATTTGCAATGGGCCTAGCACAAAATATACCATAACTGTGCACCGTTTCAGAGGAAAGGTGTTAACTTATTTCACAGAATCCCCCCCCCCCCCTCCAGCAGGCGGTCGTTTGTTCTCGCTTACGTATTAACTTGAAATATTCATATAGGAATCCGGACTTCTCGTATGCATCGGTTACGTCAGTCAATGGGACAATCGTCCAATCACAAACCAGTTGCGATACTCATAAAAAAAAATCGTTCTTTTTCTTCGATTGTGTCAAGCATTAAAAAAAAAACTCGAGAAATAAAAATGAACCCATTGTGGATACACCGGAAGGTTATTTGACCGAAGAAGAGTATTTTAACGTATTCCCTAATGAGGATCTCGAATCTTTCTACCAGCTAAAATATAGGACTATCCTTCACATTCACCTATTCTAACGTATGAATTACAACCGTATCCGCTTTCTTCTGCAAAATCGTTATTTCAGTCTCATAATGTCACCCGGCTGTTTTGGGAATATATTGATTTTGCTGCATATCTTCCCCTTGTGGAAGCGACAGATAAAAGAGACAGATAGAAAGAATGTATGCGCATGTCTTCACTCCGTCAGTATTCTTCGAGCTCGGGAAACAATTGTTTGACAAGATTGTATGAAGTGAAGAAACTTATACCACGCTGTACTAGAAATATACTGGATAGCTGCTCAAATCAGACATAAGCCACCAACTTTTGCATCGCCTATAGATGTGAAACTGAAACTTGAAAGGTTTAGATTATTGTCAGCATTTGTGCTTGCTTTTATGAATACTTCCTTATTGCGTTGCCATCTTAGCTCTTGAAAGCAAACAAACAGTTCGACATTGTAATTAAAATAATGTATTTCAATGGTTCAATCAAGCACAATTAATCAAGGCTATCTTTCACTGATATCATACTAACTTTGTTAGGAGAAAGGACAGGAAATTGATTAAATTATCGAGCGTCTGGATTCAATGCAGTAAACAGCATCCGATGTTATTATGCAGTTTACATCGCAGGCGTCATCAACGCCTCCGTTGTCGGTTTGGATGCTGAATGAAAGCCTCGAGCTTAGCACTGAAATACTGTTTACATCCGTGTCTCTTATCAACTCATCGATCGAATCGTCCGCTTCTCAAGAAAACCCCGATCTCACGATTTATGTTGTTTTGATATTTGTCGTACTACTGCCGCTGTCGATATGCGTTCTCGTCGGGAATATTCTAGTGATCATCGCTGTGTACAATAGCTTCTACCTTCGGGAGCGAGTTTTCTATTACGTCGTAGGAAGCATGGCAGTCACCGATTTACTTGTCGGCTTTTCCATCATACCCTTATATTACGCAGCTATCTTTGTTCAAACAGTGAAGGAGAGTCTTTACGGCTGCATGACTATGATAAGCATCGTGATGATACCAAGCACCATATCAATACTGCATGTTCTCATCATCGCTGCCGATCGGTACATCGCCGTTTTCTATTCCTTGGAGTATATACGCCTGGTCACAAAACGGAGAATTTTCATCACCATAGCTGTAATATGGGCATTTGCACTTGTACTCCACTCTTTCCCGTTTGTGGGGTGGAGGAAGACAAATTCCGATCCAAACTTCGTCATGCAGTATTGCTTCACGGACCAGTTCTGGACACCATCATTTGCATGTTTTCAGTTTGGTCTCACAGTCGTAGCCCCTCTCTGCATCATGATTGGTATCTACGCACGGATAATTGGAGCTGCGCGTCATCAAGCGCGTCGAGTCGACGCGCAACAGGAATTCGCCTTCAATAGAAGCGAGGCGAATGGGCAGTTATCCATTATTTCTGCCGACGTCGAGAGCAACAGCCATTCTTGTGAATCGCAAGCCCCTGCCGTCAGGATCCGTCGCGGGCCAACAACGGCCGAGTTGAAGGCCACAAAGACATCAGCCATAGTGCTAGGTACGTTCCTTGTATGTTGGTTGCCCGCATACTGCATCCATATATCGTTCACATTCATCAACAGTAACCGGCCAGAACCGCTCCATAACCCAACGATTGGTCTCCTGCAAGCTATGTCCAATCTCCTTCCCTTCATTAGTTCTGTAGCTAACCCTGTCATTTATGCCTTTCGCTACAAGGACTTCCGCAAATCGTTCAAACAATCGCTTCAATTTTCTTTTTGGCGACGGGGAAATTAATCTTTCTTGTCTAAAACACAATTGCTTTAAATTTTCGAACTTAAAGGACATTAACCAAAGAATAATAAATATTTAGCCGAGGAATTGGGAGTGAGACTCTTATCTCCCCGATTGAAAGTAGATTAAACGTCCATTTTTCCTCTGAGCAGACGCTGTATGAAACTGGCAATTTGTACGAAACGATGATTATATTCAAAATGAATTAGCAGACTGAGCCAGACTGATATTTCAGTAGTAACACCGACATGACTGACCGACATAGGCTAATACTTCAGTCACACTGCCAACCCAACTCTTAACCAACCGATTCTTAGCCACTTGGGGGTAATATAATGATTTGTTCGGTCTGTTTTCGGTTGGGGTCCAGTCTCATTGTGGTGTAGTTATTGTTTGTAATTATTGCTGTATCAAAATATGATATATTTGTCAGTGTATGCCTTGTCTTCACCAGTAAGTATTAAGGAAGTGTGTGACAATGAGACGTTCAACTATTGCCATATCTTTTGAATATACCCCATTAAAACCGATGAGGCCGATAACAGACCAAAACAAACAGAACAAAACATGATATTGTCTGGAATGGCAAAAAATTAGTCGTTTTGAATATGGTTCGGAATCGGTATGACTGAGGTATCATTCATACGATCTTCAAGAAAATCTAAGTCTGCATGGTTGGGAAATGTTCTCGCAAAAGGAAATCTGTGTAGGGCAGGAGTATCAATCAATCTGTCTGCGTATAAAGACCCGCAATCTTTGTAAACTTATGGCCAGAAATCTATCCGTTTCGAAAGCAAACAGATTGAAAGACCGGAGGTAAAATTCCATTTCATTGCTGTGAACGACAACGCTTAAATTATTTTTTTGCTTGAAGTTTGAAATCAAATGCGATTGTTCATCACTGTATGATACACGTTTGCACAGTTACACCAGTTTCACGGTTCTTCTGAAAACGTTTGACAACATATTTCAAGAAAATACATTTTCAGTTGAAAAATAGCAGTGAATACAGATGTAGCATGATCGAAGATTTGCAGATATTAATAAGATCGCTAAAGATAAACTTGAATTCTGGTAAAAAAAAGAAAATGAATGCTCACAGAATCAAACGAAACTTACACTGAATGTTCAAGATTACAAATAAATGTCATTTGCCAAACAATTTTGGTAGAAAATGTATACTGGCTGAGGAATGAGCTAGAAAGATAAGGAAATCAATTATAGTTGGCCCGACACCATTTGTGTTGTCCTATATATATCTTTCTGTGTACAGTGCTTGTTACTTTACATGCTACATGATCAAATTGTTCTGATCCATTCCACACCTTTTCTTCCACAATGCAATCGCATGACCAGAACTCAACTTTATCTTTAAGCTAACGGGTACATTTTCAGTTGATTATCTTATTTCTTTAAACAGTAGGCTATACTCATGGGGGAGTAGTGGCAACAACGGAAAGAAGTAGAAGAATAAAAATGAAAGACTGACCCCTTCATAAAGATTATATTTGTGTAATCATGTATCATTTTGTATCGCTCGTTAAATTTTGCGATATTTTCTCGTATTCCGTCTAATACCAATCTCTTCACACAAAATGGCAAGCATAATACACTTTAGTGAACAGTGGCGTGACTATGTGGAGGGGCGCTTGGATGCACGTATCCCCAATAAAATTGTGAAACAAAACAAAAATTGGAAAGGGAAGGGGCGCAACGTGAAAAACAAGATGGCGGCACGTACTCCTAAAAATAAAAATAAAAAGGGGGAAATAGAAAAGGGAGGGGGAAACAACGTGAAAAGAATGTGATATGACGTCTTTCCACACTTTCCTCTTCTTTGAAAGCTTTGTTCTCTTGCAATCTACCCACCTATATAACTTTGATGCCCTCTTCCATGATACAAATGTTTCCTAAAAGGATAAACCCACGCTACGCAACTCTCTTTTAAAAATAATCAATAATATGTTATGATGGTAAAATAAAATCTTATAAGAGTTATGTGGGAGGCAACATAGCATGAAATGAGCGTTTCTATTCTGAATGTTTTACATAATTAACAATGTCTATATCTACTTGCAAGGATTGAAAATCTAAAAAAAGTCATGCTCTTTGTTGTTGTTTACTTGTTTGTTCATATCAATGGTAGCTATTATCTTGTAGCTGGTGTGAATGAGTAATTAAATTAAATTTTGTGAATTTTTGATTCGTGAAATTTTGAGTCCCGTCTCCTGTGTTAAAGGATTTGAGCTTTTACTTATCGAGTTTTCCTCTGCAAGGCTCACATCACGTGTTTGATTTGATATTAAATTTTGTCCGTTGGGTAATTACATTTTACATCTTAGACCTGTAGACGTTTTGTAGTGAAACCAGGAAATAAGAACGCAGGAACAAGTGTATACGGTTCAAAGTCCTTCTGCTTTATTAAAGTTGAGGCAAAATATCAAACAAAAATAGAACAGCTGGTCTAAATGACTATTGGGAATCTTCCCACTCCCTTCGGATACATCTCATCTCTACATGCCCTAGTCTATATGCCTCGTGCCCTTTTATCCGTTCTTCTGGTGTGTCGAGCCAGACACATAAGTGCATGAGTACAAAACATTTGCATCACATATTTATAATAGGCAAAGAAATCTATACCACCTGACTGCATGCCTGGTTGCTATATGGTGAAAGGGGGATTCTATAATGGGAGTATACTGACAAAAAGCATGCCACAGAATTAGCATTTTTATAAAAAGCTAATGTATATTGCCAGACACAAAAGTGCATGAGTACAAAACATTTGCATCACATATTTATAATAGGCAAAGAAATCTATACCACCTGACTGCATGCCTGGTTGCTATATGGTGAAAGGGGGATTCTATAATGGGAGTATACTGACAAAAAGCATGCCACAGAATTAGCATTTTTATAAAAAGCTAATGTATATTGCCAGACACAAAAGTGCATGAGTACAAAACATTTGCATCACATATTTATAATAGGCAAAGAAATCTATACCACCTGACTGCATGCCTGGTTGCTATATGGTGAAAGGGGGATTCTATAATGGGAGTATACTGACAAAAAGCATGCCACAGAATTAGCATTTTTATAAAAAGCTAATGTATATTGCCAGACACAAAAGTGCATGAGTACAAAACATTTGCATCACATATTTATAATAGGCAAAGAAATCTATACCACCTGACTGCATGCCTGGTTGCTATATGGTGAAAGGGGGATTCTATAATGGGAGTATACTGACAAAAAGCATGCCACAGAATTAGCATTTTTATAAAAAGCTAATGTATATTGCCCAAGACTCTCCAAGGATAACACTCGCTTGAGCGCAATTTCCTCCTGTATTGTGTACATCTATTCTTAGCTTGTCGCGATAATTTTTCTGTATACATGTATAGTGTTCAATGATGACGACAGTACTCGATCATTTTTTTTTCTTCAAAATTTTCCCATTCCACAGGGATCTTTTTATACTAAAACAAATTCGTCAAATGGAATCATATACATCGACAAGAAGGCTCATGGAAAACAAGGTGTAAACAATGATCAAAATGGCCTCCCCCCAAAAAAATTGGTAGGTGGAGAAAAATACAAATGATAAAACGAATACTTCAATGAACACTAATATGGTGAATACGTTAAACTTGTCATGTTATCGCCACTCTCAACACAATTAGATAATAATAATGTTTGATGTCAAGTAATTGATGACTGTGATGGTGTTGATCTCGACCACATTGGCTTTCTATAATAAGAAATTTGGGAAGGAATTTCATTATTATAGAATGATCCAGTGTCACTCGAATGAGGCAACTACCATGGTAACAGGGCTCAACAGCAAATACAAATCAAGGTTTCCTTGGTAGCATTGGCGTATCGAGGGGTGTTTTAGGTGTTCAAACACCCCCATTTGCATTAAGCATTTTAAAGATACCTTTTAAGTATGCCCCCCCCCCTTTACCAAAAAAGTGCTCCTTACACCCCCCCCCCTCCCCCCCCCCCCCCCCCCCCCCGCCTGGTCACCGGCTGGCTGATTCGCCGCTAAATATTTTCTTACGAATTGGGCAAAAAAACACCTCCCCTTAAAAAAATCCTGGATACACCCTTGCATGGTAGTTACTATTTATGGCAAAGTGACCATCAATGGTAAGTTTTGTGCAACGGGGCCCTTGTGCATATGTCTTTTTGGAACAAAAAAAATAGACAGTTTGAGAAATATGCCAAGTTATTTAAGTTACGACAAGTTACACAAGCTAACAACTGTTACAGAATTAGGCCTTTCATACCATTTCAATAATTATGTATATGTGCATTTTTTTTAATATTTAGTTTATTTCAATGAAGAAGTTTAATTTCCGCAGCGATAAATGCCTTAATTTTGCTCCATCGCTTTGCTCGCTCAAAATTTTAAAATTGGAAAATCTTTGAGAGACATCAGCCCCCTAGGAATAATTGGCCTCGAAATGTCATTTGAATTTACCAAATAACATAAACAGAATCTAGATAATATGAACAATTATTGGGGTGGGATGCAGCCCCCGCGTCATAATCCTGAATATCGTTGATGTATATTGAATTTGTTGTGGTAAATGACTTCATGTGTTTAAAGGTGGGTTGACTACCCCCCCCCCCCTCCCCGAAAAATGAAATAAAAAATAAAAAGTTAGCAAAGCCACAGATATAGAAAGTATTTTTTCTTTTTTTCAGGGGAAGAAAATCGTTATTTTGAAGAAATATAAATAATACACTGGCCTTATACGAGAATAATGAATCAATTAAACCACAATGAATAACTTCCATTTCATTTTATCGATTAACACCACACTCATAGGCATACGAGGCGAAGCTTGATGACACTTTGCGTCGGAAATTGGGTACTTGCCACTTCATATTAGGACTGTGAGGTGGATTATTTGTAATATACATATCTTTTTTAAGTAAACTTTGATGAAGAAATAAATATTTTCCTCGTTTCTCTCGCATTAGTTGATACTCCTGAAAATTGATTGATATTCGTGCAAAATTAGGCGTAAGCACACTAGCGAAATCACCCCCATGCGCCTGTGATTATAATGACCTTTTTAATCATCGAGGGTAAAATAAAAACTATAATGATCAAAAGCTTCCTGTTGTTCAAAGACACACCTTTCATCAAACACCTGTCATGCATGCTTCCATCCCCTATAGGGAGGGTCAGATGACGCCAAAATCAACGCCTCCCTCCCTCGGTTAAAAACTTCTCCCATATTTTTTTTTAAAGATAATGTGCGCAAGCAAATCGTAGGATTTCGCACAACAACGCAGAGTTTCGGAACTATAATATCTTAACAAAGATTGCACGACGAGTGCTGCTTATGTGTATGAGGTGGTGGACATCTATATAGTCACCACCTAAAAGTTGAGGTTCAAATTCGCAACGTCCTCGAAAATGATGCAGCAACATGCACCCCTGACCCTAAAATTGCATAATTGAAGTTTTTAGGGTTCAACTCACCATGCTCATGGACATTTTGCTCCCTTGTTTTTCAGACTCCATCCAAGCAAAGCGTGCAATCTAATCTAATAAAATTCTAATTTGCACTTATTATGGGGGTGCTGCTCTATTATCGTTCGGGGTGAGAATCCTAACCTACATTTCTCAGTGTTTAAGTTTAAGTTTAAGTTTATTTGTTTCCACTTCATCGACATAACGTAATTGAACATAATGTACATGGTAATAATGAATGATAACTAAACATACAATAGAAGAACATAATGTACATGGTAATATTTATGACAAAAGATACAATCAAAGATATGATAAATACATTGAAAAAGCGAAATAAAGTGGGGGATCTACTAAAACGCAAAGCTTTTAGTATGTAGGTCCCAATTAATGACTGTGTATATAAATTAGGATCTCTGAATAAACATAAGGTATTTACAAAAGCATATGACGAGGGTTAGCTTAAAGTGACGTATTTTACTAATCAAAGCGTTAACAATTATGAAATAAGGGCGAAGTTCTGTGCTTTTCTCAGCATAACCAAATCAGTGTGTTTGATTAGATTTGATTTGATTTGATTTTCTTCTGCATTCATGTAAACATACATTTT